TAAAATAATTTTTCTAATTTTAGTTAAAAATTACTCTCTACACGAATATTTATTTTTTTTTTATGAAAATAGTTTATGAATTATATTATACTTTTTCTTAATTTTTATAAAAATGTTGTAGTTTTATTTAACGATAATATAATTAATATCATTATGTTTATTTAAGAAAAAAATATTACGAAAGGTTTTCGTACTTTCGTAAAAATAGAAAAGGGTCTTATTAAATAATATTTCGTATTATACACGAAATTTTTGTAAATATTACGAAAAAAGAAATTACGAAATTTTTTTTCGTAAAGTTGAGCATGGATTATTTTCAGTGTATATCCTAATCGAAGTTATATTAAAATAAAATTTATATTACAAAATTACAAAAGAATATCATGTAAACACTCTCATTAATTTATTTGTATAAAGTCACTATAAAAAGTTTTTATTATTGTGATTTTGTGTACCATTGAAGAACGAAAAAGTTCCATGTTTTAGATTGTCATTTGCTCATGTATGTTAAATTTCACGTTTCTAGGTCTAACATGGAAAAAAATTAAAAGTGAAAAAACTGATAGGTGAAATAATGTATCGAATTTAACCATTTTCAATAGGCTTTGTCGTTGGGACAAAAAAAAAAAAAAAAAGACGTGTCAATTTTATAAAATTATATTGAAAATGGCCAGGACTGATCAAATGTATCATCGGCCTTTCCTTGGAATAGATTAGACATGAGGTCGAACCAGAGAAGTACATAATCTGATACCACGGGAATCGGTAGCCCGAAGGACAGAGTATTGTACTTTGCCTTGTTCCGGTTATAGGGGAGGTCCCTTCGGGGTATACGTAGTGACTGTGGTTTAAACCCAAATTCGCTTGGTTAAAAGATTGATACACGGTGAAATATAAATTTTCGGGATAAGTTTCTCTTAACGCTCCTAGCTTCTAGAAGCGGTACAAACGACAGAACAAGGCTGTGGATTAATAACATGATGGATTTGAGTTGATAATGCAAATATGGGGTATGCGTTGCTGTTCAATGTATTGTATAGGAGGGATTCTGAGTTTTATCCGAGGTTAGACGGATAGAGTGATGGTTGGAGTGTCGGATGAGATGGTGTGCTCAACTAAGGTTTGGCGAAACAGAGTGAGATGGTGGCGGAGATTTTAATACCTTAATCTTTAATTTATCTGTGATTTTCCTTCAAGGTAGAGTGTGTTGGAGTTTATTATAAACATGATCAACTTATCACAGCAGGTCCTTGTGGCCACTGAAATGAGTTTGGCTAATTAAATATAGATCTGTGTTTTCGAACCACCAATTACGTCCTCTAGGTGCTGTTGCCGAATCAACAGAAGCCATCTTAGTAGTGTGGTTGGGTGACTTTAAGAGGTTCCTGGTGAGTTTTTAGATGATGAGAATGTTTGTAGCGACAGAGCATTTCTCATAACATCAATAGGGTGTTTTCACCTGATGTTGGGTCCGCCCCTTCTATCGACTCTAACCATTGATTGCCTTTTCCTTTGTCAGGGTTAGATTGAGCTTGACTCATGACACTTGCATTCTCCAACGGGACTATTATGGCAAGAGATTAGGTAGCTCGAGTACTTGAGCAAAGTGCACTTACACTGGACCGGAAATTCCATATATGTACGTAAATTCCCACCTGCGTGTAAGATGCACAATGGGGCGGTGGTGAGTCGTTATAAAAGCTCACCCAGTGGTTGAAAAAGACCACTGAGAAATAGGCCACCACAGCAGGCATTTCGACATTAACCCTACAGAGGAGTAACTGTGGTACTAAGCGTTGGTAATGAGTTGGTTTTAAGTGTATATGATACAGGAGGAATGTGGGGGTATACGGACCTTACTCGTTCGTATACCTAGAGTGAGTGTGTGGGATGTTGTTCTCTATGAGTGTGTAGAATGAATGAGAAGTATGTGTTGGGTTGAATTGTGATGGATGAAAGGTATGTTATACAAGTGATACCATTGAAGTTTCATTCCTTATTCAAGTATGTTCAAGGGAAATTCTGTTTATACCAGATTTACCACAGTGTGTTTTCTGGGAGTAAGAACATAGTCCTCGTCTTATTTGAGGGGTTCGTGTTTCAATTTACCGAATAAGTCTCTAGATGCTGTCAGATGCCGACTCAACATAGGCCATCCCATCTGCGTGGTTGTAAACGGAAGTGATGTTTTTGCATCTCAAAAGTTAAGCAACAGGGCAGCAATGGTCAGAGATTAGATAGCTCGAGCACATGAGCAAAGTGTTCGTATACTGGACCGGAAATTCAATATACGTAAATTGCCACCTGCGTGTAAGAAGCACAATTGGGGCGGTGGTGAGTCGTCTAAAGTTCACCCAGTGGTTGAAAAAGACCACCGTGAAATAGGCCAACACGACAGGTGTTCACGTAAAGCACTTCGACATCAAACCCACAAAGGAGTGACTGTGGGACTAAACATTGGAAATGAGTTGGTGTTAAGTGTATATGATACAGGTTGAATGTAGGGGAATACAGATCTTACCCGCTCGTATACCAAGAGTGAGTGTGTCGGAAGTTGTTCTCTACGAATGTGTAGAATGAATGTGTTGGGTTGCATGGTGATGAATGAAAGGTATCTTATACAAGTGATGCCATTGAATTTTCCTTTCTTGTTCATGTGTGTTCAAGGAAAACTCTTTACCAAAGTGTATTCTCTGTGAATAAGAAAATGGTCCTCGGCTTATATGATAGATTCATATTTCGGTCCCCCGAATACATTTCTTGGTGCTGTTGCCGACTCGGCAGAGGCCACCCCATCTGCGTGGTTGTAAAAGGTTTTCATCTCGGAAGTTAAGCAATGGTCAAAGATTATATAGCTCGATTACTTGAGCAAAGTGCTTGTACATGTACATCATACAGATTTCAATCAGCACCCTACTTGATTGTTTTTTTGTCGTTAGACTAAAAATGGTAGAATACTCAAAAGGTACCAGTTAAACAATGAAAAGGTACCTTTTATAGATTGAATTGTTAAAAAAGTACCAAAAATATATCAATAATCGACCAATTTTTAAAATTTGGTAGTTTTTTTTCCTAATGAAGCACAAATATTTTATTAGAAAAAGTAATGTCCTAATGGGACTCAGTAATAAAATGTTCAGTAAAATATGCTATATAAAAACTACCAAAAATCGGTAATATTTTTACACCTTAAACGTCAGAATATCACAAAAGTACCAAACCAGTAAACATAGAAGTAAAAGTATAAGCACAAAAAATACCTATGTACAGTTTTTACCTGGACCAAAATTCGATTTTTTTTAACAGACATCGATAAGTATTAATTTTTTGTTGTAACGTTTTCAGTTTAGAAAATATGACATTAAACAAAAAGAGCTTAGCCTTCAAACTCTGACTGACAAAACCTATTTCTCAATATGACTATACTTGAACGGCCAATTAAACCTAATACATATAAATAGAGCTTTATTGACTCAGAAAGTAATTTTATGCCGATTGGTGGTGTAGGGTATAATAATAAATTGGGAATTTTAGATACATCTTCAGTTTAAGGCGCAATTTCTATGTTTGCTTCCTAGGTATTATGTTTCGATCTAATTTATATACATATGTTTGTTTCCTAAGTCTTTTGTTTGAAACTCAATCGTGAAATTGCAAAGAGAAGGAAGTTATTTAATATGTATTTCAAATGAAATGTTTAAGTGATAAATTTTAAATTAAGCACTTACTAATTTTAAATTTCCTAACTAATAATTAAAAAATTAAAAAAAAAACTAGGTTATGTCTTTCAATTTATTATAATTATGTCAAAATAATAATTCAAACAAGTTTTTTATGTTTACCTTTTCATAAACATACATATGCTTTAAACATTTTAATAAATTTTTAAAATATTTTAGCAAACAATTGTAATTGAATTTATTAAAATATTCCACAATTCGATTAATAATATTAAAAACTGATGAGATACGTGCATACAAACAACAAAATTATGCAAATTTTTACAAGTTTATGAGAAATACTCAAATACATACATACAAAATGAACGTGTTTGTTTGGGAGTGTGGGCCATAGTAGACAAAGAAATACAACAATAAATATTACATAATTTCTAATACACAAAAATACCGTTTGTTACTCATCAACCAAAAGAAAAAAATACTCTCACTTAAAGCAACTGTTATTAGTAATACTCTCGATTTCCGAAGAAAGTAAAAACAAAACAAACATTATCCATTAAGAAACCAAACTAACAAGCACACTCACACACTCATTGGAAATATTAGAGAAAATACTCATATTACTGTTATTATTACATACAAGCTTTGAGTGATAATGTAATAATAATTGTAATAGTAAGAGAGGGAGAGAGTGAGTATGCACTTGAACTTGTTTTATTACAATAATTGCTCATTGTATTAATGTTGTTAGTGTTAGTAATGTTGGTATTTATGTTTTATCTTGCTGTTGTTGTTGTTGATTGGAGATTTTCACTTAAACAAATAAAAGCGTTTTTTTTTACATATTTTTGCTTGTTGAGTGTCTGAACAATAAAACTAACAACAATAACAACATACATATACCAAATGTAAATAAATCAATTTGTTGTTTTTGTTGTTGCTTTAGACAGTGTGATATTTTTGTTTAATTTGTTGGTCATTGTCACTTTGAATACCAAATATTGTGGGTAAAATTTACAAACTGTAGTTGGTGATTTTTTTTTATTTCATTTATTTATTGTTTAATAAACGCACATATTTTTTTCGCTTGAAATCAGACTTTCACTTAATTTTTAGCATCCAAAATATTATTATTTTTTTTTAATTTTTTATAGCCGCTGTTCATTAAATTTTTTTCGTTTTTTGCTTTTTAATTTCATAATAATTTCTTTTCTTTTCTGCTGTTCTTATTTCTGTTTAATATGTGGGAAATTTTTTTTAAAGATTTAATTTTGTTTTCATTTTATTATTATATATTTTTTGAGCACTTAATTAACTCACCTTCATTTTATATTTGTTTTTAGTTTTTTTAGTTTAAAATAATTTGTTACAAACAAATTTAAGTTTAAAATCAAAATTTGGTTTCTTGTTTTTTAAGGTTTTAAAACGCGTCGTTAAACACGTCCGTTACGTTTGGTATCGTATTGACTTTTACTGGCTCAGACCGGCATATGAACGGTGGCTGGCACTCGTTGCTGTTATGGCTGCAGATTTTTTTTGTTTAAAATTTTTTTCTTTCTTGAACCTTTCTTAAGCTTATGTTGTTTTTTGTATTTTTGTTATCGATTTGAGTATGAGTTATTTTTTTTTGAGTCGTTTTAACACTTTCTTTTACTACTTTTTTTCTCGTAAAGCTATGGTAACTCTGTTTTAAAAATTTTCCGTTTTTTTTTTGTTGATTTAATTTACATTCAAAGCAATTGTTATTTAATTATTTTTTTTCTCGAATAAATTTAAAAATTTTGTTAGTTAATTTAAACTCAACAATTGTGGCTTCGTTGTTACTCGCTTAAAGTCTTAGAAACATTTGTTAGTTTTTCCGCTTTGTAAGCGTCTTTTAAAGAAAATTTGTTTCCATAGCTTCTTTTTTTGTTGGTTTTTATATGTTTGTTGATATTTAATGTTTTCGTTGTAAGTTTTATTTTTGCCACATAATACTAACACATTTTTAAATATGTATCTGTGTGTGCATGACTCTTTTTTTTGTATTTTTCATTAATATCTCATTTGATATGTAACTTTAGTTAAAAGATTTTTATTTAGTAGCATGAGTTTTCATATTGTGGCCACCTAACAATTAATTTGTGCTCTTTTGACTTTATTTTATTTTTTTCTTCTTCATCATCATCATCAGCGGCATTGTCTGCTCTTAATATTACGATTTATATATTTTGCTGTCTACATTTAGTCATACATACATATTTTGTACTCCGTACTCTGACAGTTTCCTTGAATGCATTTCGGTTTTTTTGTATTTTGTTTTGCTTTCTGAATACGCGTAAATTTTGGAGTTTTTGTTAAGTGTTTACAGTGGCATAAGACAATTTTAAATTATAGAAAAAATTTGGTTAACAATAAGTTCTTACTCCGTAAAAATAATCATTTTCAAAATTGTTTACCAAACATTTTGAATCGAGTTTGTTTCTTAAGTCTTTTGTTTTTATAACTCCAAACATACGGGGAAAGGAAAGGGAGAAAGGGGGAAAAAGGAACGAACGAACGAAGGAACGAAGGAACGAACGAACGAGCGAGCGAAGAACGAACGAACGAACGAACGAACGAACGAACGAACGAACGAACGAAACGAACGAACGAAACGAACGAAACGAACGAACGAACGAACGAAGAACGAACGAACGAACGACGACGAAAAACGAACGAACGAACGAACGAACGAACGAACGAACGAACGAACGAAGAACGAACGAAAGAACGAACGAACGACGAACGAACAACGAACGAACGAACGAACGAACGAACGAACGAACAACGAACGAACGAACGAACGAACGAACGAACGAACGAAACGAACGAACGAACGAACGAACAACGAACGAAGAACAACGAACGAAACGAAACGAACGAACGAACGAAGAACGAAACGAACGAACGAACGAACGAACGAAACGAACGAAACGAACGAACGAACGACGAACGAACGAACGAACTAACGAACGAACGAAGAACGAACGAACGAACGAACGAACGAACGAACGAACGAACGAACGAACGAACGAACGAACGAACGAACGAACGAACGAACGAACGAAAGAACGAACGAACGAAACGAACGAAGAACGAACGAACGACGAAAGAACGAACGAACGAACGAACGAACGAACGAACGAACGAACGAAACGAACGAACGAACGAACAACGAACGAAAACGAACGAACGAACGAAACGAACGAACGAAACAACGAACGAACGAAACGAACGAACGAACGAACGAACGAAGGAAACGAACGAACGAACGAACGAACGAACGAACGAAGAACGAACGAAGAACGAACGAACGAACGAAAGAACGAACGAACGAACGAAACGAACGAACGAACGAACGAAAACGAACGAACGAACGAAAGAACGAACGAACGAACGAACGAACGAAAAGAACGAACGAACGAACGAACGAACGAACGAACGAACGAACGAACGAACGAACGAACGAACGAACGAACGAACGAACGAACGAACGAACGAACGAACGAACGAACGAACGAACGAACGAACGAACGAAACGAACGAACGAACGAAACGAACGAACGAACGAACGAAGAACGAACGAACGAACGAACGAACGAACGAAACGAACGAACGAACGAACGAACGAACGAACGAAACGAACGAACGAACGAAACGAACGAAACGAACGAACGAACGAACGAACGAACGAACGAACGAACGAACGAACGAACGAACGAACGAACGAACGAACGAACTAACGAACGAACGAACGAACGAACGAAAGAACGACTAACGAACTAACGAACAACTAACTAACTAACGAAAACTAACTAACGAAACTAACAAAAACGAACTAACTAACGAACGAACTAACTAACGAACTAACTAACTAACGAACTAACTAACTAACGAAAAACTAACTAACTAACTAACTAACAAAACTAACTAACTAACTAACTAACTAACTAACTAACTACTAACTAACTAACTAACTAACTAACTAACTAAACTAACTAACTAACTAACTAACTAATAACTAACTAACTAACTAACTACTAACTAACTAACCAACTAACTAAGCAGTCCATCAGAATAGGACAATGATTTCCATAGCGATTTTAGTCACGCATGTACTCTCTGCCTGTCTTTTTGCAATTTATGGGGTGACGATTGAGTTCCCCGTAGGACAAGCAGATGTTAAATAAGTAAGAAGTTATAGTCGGGTGAGGCCGACCGTATAATACCCTATACCAGTTATAAAATAAAATGTGATTTAGTGTTAATAATAAAGCATTTAAGTTTACTTTACTTTCATTTACTTTAGCCATTATTTGTTGAAGCCGATTGGTATACTTAAGGTGGGTATAGAACCAATATTATAGTGCGTTACAAACATCAGCACAAACCCAATATAGCCTCACCACTAAAGTGATGTAGGGTATAAATAGCTAGTCACCTGGACAGTACGTGTCTAGGGGTTACCCTAAGTGGTAGGTTAAATAGGTAGTTCGGGACTATCCGACCGAACTGTTGGGTATCTGCTATCTAACAAAAAAATTTTTTTTTAAAAATTATACAAACAGATTTACTGAAAAACCGATAAGCTTAATTCACACTACTATCAATGATGATCCAGAATACTATATACTTCATATTGATGGAAAAATAAATTGTGAAATTGGAATGAAAAACTAACGGAATACAAAATACGGAATTAAATGCAGAATTTTGTCATATTCAAAGCTCACATCCCACTGTTTCATATTAAAATGTTAAGAGGTCTTAACAAATGTTGTAACATCCATTCAAATACAAATTTAATATAGACTTTTTTTCTCTTTTTTGTTAAACAAAAATTGAATACAGTTTATTTAAAATGATTTTATGTGCAAATTTGTCTAAAAACACACACTCACAACATCACTTTTAAAAGTATGTGTAAAAAAAACACCAAATTAAAACGAAAGACTTAAGACACATACTTGTTGCAGTTTAAGTGTTTAATGCAGAAACCACAGAAAATTATTTTTTTCTTCTATATATTTTATTACATTTTTTGTTCGTATTAAAGATGCAATTTATCATTTTTGGAATTTATGCTATTTCTCTATTTCGAAACCGAATTTTCATTTTATAGTTAAAAAATTTTTCTAAGGATAGTTTACGAAAAAAAATCAGATTTAGCGATTATCAGGTTAAGCCAGATATTACGTATTAAATGAAGTAGTTAGTGCATATCACACTTGTTTATGGAGTAATAAATGTTGTTAAGTTTCTGGGGGGAAATTTCGTTAGGATAAATTAATGTGGATTTATTTATATTAAATAGTTTGAAATTTAAATTTGAAATTACAATATTTTATGGAATTATGATGAAATGCATGAAGTTGTGGAGAAAAAATGACAGTTTAAATTGAATGTTGATTTTGAGAATGTGTGTGTGTGTGGTATGTACATATGTAAGTAATGTTTGTAAAGCTTTTTAAACGAGAAAATTAGGAAGCATGTCCTTTTCATAAATGATTCATTTAGAAAAGTTGTTAATAGATCTTCATTTATAGAATATTTCCGATCAATTATATATTTAAGAACATGTTTGGCAAATTTTTGTAAATTACGATAAATTTTCTTATTGTAATTGAAAAAAACATTCTGACAAAGAGATATGAAATTTTAAAGCAATTTTTCCATGCGACTTAAAAAGTTTTTTAAACTGAAATTTGTTATGTAAAACTTTATATTTAATATTGAACAAACGTGTTTCTTTTTTTTTGCATTTTTAATAAACACTTAAAGATTACATTGTTTTCATAATAAAAACTACAAAATAAATAATAATAGTAATATTACACTAAAATAAATATAAAACATTGCCAATGCAGTCATTCAGTCAATCGTTGAAAGGAAATTGCAATTTAGCTATTTCAGGCACTTAAGAGCAATAAACACCCTCCCCATAAAAATCAGCGACTGCAAAAGTCTTGAACATAAAACAGCAACAATAGACAGTTTAGTAGATTTAACATAAATATAAAGTGGATTTTTTGTTATTTTTGAAATCTAAATTTAAATTGTAAAAATTTTATAGCGCTTTGCCATATATTGTATAAATATAAAAAAAAAAACTTTAAAGAAATAATTATTTGGTAATCGACAATTAAGCATTATTATTAATAAATTTTTCCACAAAAATTTACATAAATATTACAAAGTTGTACTTTAGAAATATAAAATACTACGAAATTCACATAAAATTTTAATGAAGCAAGATACAAAAAACTATTCTTCACACTTTGACACCCAATGATAATGAACTTTCTATAAAAAAGTTCAAGTGCTTCATTAGATGTAGATGTATTCCTCAATTTAGGCTGATCTTTTGCTTTAATATGATTATTTTTAACTTTATTAGTTTATGTTTTTTTTTTGTGTAATTTTTTAATGTTTGTGTTAACAACAAACTTTGGTGGCTAGCTTTTAAGTAGTTTAAACTTAGTTTTAATGGAGTAATTATTTTTGTATATTTTTTGTTAGGCTATTTAAAAGACCTTCACACTTGAACAGATTGTAAAATGAGAAAAACATATACACATATATGTTTTATGATTGGTAAATATTACTTTGAGTTTTAGTAAATTTTACTAGGAATACATTGATTTAATCAGGAATAACATTTTAGTATAAAGAAGCCTTATTACTTATCACAAATTACTTAATTAAATGTTTATGGGCGTTTTATGGCTTTCTTAGGAAATTTTAACAAAAGTTCTTAAAGATAAGTAATGAATATATTCAAAGTGCTAAA